TCAATTTCTGGGTTGAGAAATGGAAGTGGGGAGTAAATTCCTCAACTGGGTCAAATAGACTTATATAGTGCAGATAATTCAATTAGGGATCTGTAATAATTTGTTGTAGAACATTACCAAAAACATGGGAAGAATATCAGATGTAATCAACTGGAGTTCGTATCTTCAATAGATAGTTTTTACCTTGAGAATCCAAAACTGAAGAAAGACGTAGAAGTTGATAACAGATCATGTTACATTTAACAGCTAGAAGTTTTAAGATGCAGGATGCTAGTTAGTTTGGTCTGAAATTTGTCATTTCTGGAAATTCCTACTTAGCGCGCGAGATAAAGGAAAGGAGAGGAGAGTACATATTTATGCATAAAAAATAGATATTTTGTTTTTAAAAAGTAGTATGTAACGGAAGTCAAGGTTTAGTGAGTTATTAGAAGCTAAATCTCTTGTAACATGGGTAGGGACAAGTGGTGTATTTTAATTGGGTTAATAGAGAGGAGAGTAGATTAAGTTAGTAGGAAATCCGAACACTTAATAATTAGTACCACATTTCTCTAAAGATTAGTTTAATAATCTTTTGAGACAATTATATGGTTTAATAATTTATAAATTAGTACCACTTTTCTCAGAAGATTGTAAAATTTAATCCACATGTGAGATTAGGTATGAAGGTATGAATATGTATTCCCTTTTTTCAGCAAACACCAATCACTACAGGCCATTCCCTCAAAACTTGCTTCAAATTCCCAAACTCTTACTTCTTCTACTCCATTTTTCATTTTGAAGGCCTCGATATGTATATATATATATATCAGTCGGTTCGGTTAATCGTTGGTTTTTTAAAAGGTTAATTGAAACCAAATTGAAACTTGTGGTTTTTTAAGAATAGTGAATCAACTAATTCGATTAACCGGATTTTCGGTTCAGTTTTAATCGGTTTTTTGGTTTAACTTGGTTTTTTGGGCTTTCTTGCTCACCCCTATGACCAACTAACCCAATGCAAATATCAATAAAAATATAAATATTTCATCCATACAAAACTAAGAAAAATACATAATTTGACATAAAATTGCAGAAAAAACAATGAAAATGATAAAAATTCACAACAAAAAAAGTAGAAATTGCATTAATTACATAAATTGATAAACATTCAAAGTGACAATATACTTCAACCGATTTTTCAAAATTGGACCAGACCGGATGCTCGGATCGGAAAACTTGATTTGGTCAACGGACCACTTACTCGAGAATCGAACCATCGAGTCCTACAACACTTTTTGGCCATTGTTTATTTTTTATTTTTTATCAAAATGGGCCAGACTAGATGATTGGACCATTCAGCCCAAGAACTGGTCCCAGAACGGTTCCCTGCCTGGTCTGATTTTAAAAGCCTTTATTTCAACCCATGAATCATAGAAATTTTGAAGGAAAGGTTGTTGCTATGTGGGACACTAGGCTAGAAGATTAAGAACCCTAATAGAAGAAACTAGTTTCAAAAGAAGACACAAAACCGACCTCATACGTTGAGAGATCTCCTTAATCACTTTCAATAGAAAAAGCTAAAATACCACCATAGGCCATCAGAACTCTGAATTTATAGATTTTTGGAAGAAAACTTGCGAACATTAGGCAGATTTTGCAACATCTATTATCCTAGAAAGCAAGGTTTTTAAAACCGGACTAGACAAGGAACTGTTATGGGGACTGGTTTTCCGGGTCGAATGGTCTCATTATCTGGTTCCAATAGATGGTCTGTTTTAACTTAAAAAATGGCCAAAAAATGTTGTCCAGATTGACGGTTCGATGGAACTAGTTCCCACTTTTCCGGTCTGACCATCCGATCTAGTCCAATTTTGAAAACTATGCTAGAAAGACCTGAGAAGTGGAAATGGATGGCCTCAGTCCACAATCATAGTGAGTGCCATGTGAATATTTTCAACATTGCCTACCAACCAATGCCTAAGAAATCATTCCCTATTTAGTAGATCCTCTTCCTCTACCACATATATTTTTGATGGCCTAACCATCTCTACTGATGCTGCTAAAAGTTTAGGAAAACCAAGCTTTGCCATCTCTTAATAGAAACAATCCATCCATTTAGGTGGTGTTTGGTAGTCTTTAAATATCGTGGACGGGACCATTTTGGTCCTATCCATGGTAAAATATGGTGTTTTACTATGTGTGGATGGTCCCCATCTACAAAATAGTGTGGATTCGGGCCACACCCCAATTTATCATCTATAGTATTTTCTTGTGGATGGTCCACACTATGGTGTGGACAATTTGTGTGAAAGTTTCAGTGAAACACACTTCTTCTACATTGGTCCAATTACTCTCATTTTATTTAATCTTTTAATAACTTTTAAATTTTAAATTTTTAATATTTTATCAATCAAATAAATTTTTAATGTTAATTATACCATAAGTTCAATGATTATCTTTTTCAACTATTTTTTCATTATTTAAATATTGTTTTTAATATTTGTATCAATAAAATCATATTTAAAATATTAATTTCTTATTTTTTAATATTTAAAATATTTTTTTTAATTATTTAAAAAATGCAATTGTTGCTTACATGATATTGATGCCTTTTTTCAATTTATTTACCATATAAAATGCAAAAAATAGACATTTATGATCGACTGTGTAGATCTCCCATAAAATATATATGAGATACATGGAATAAAAAAGTATGGCACCACACCCACAGAATGCCACCGTGAGTGTGGACTAGTTCGGTTTACACTATCCACAGTTTAGAACAATTGTGGACTATGACGTAATATGAATTGGTCCTTACCACAGGATGTGGTATAAGTTAGTTCACACCCACCAATTTCTCGTCCACATTACAAAATACCCCTTAAATCTAGTAAAAAGTGGAACGAACGGATATAAGTGAAGAGGAGATGCAAAAAGGTAGAGGCGGAATTCGGATATAGTCCCAACAGTGACCGTTGGACTTGATTTGAACCGGAGGCAAAATGGTGTTATTGTTCAATTTTGGGAACTGCAATGGATGTGGGTACCCATGACCTATCATAATCCAACCTACTCAAATAGGTGAATTGGCTGGGATCAAAATTGATGAAACCCTTGATCGGATAAAAGCCCAATAGCCCAAACCCACACAAGCCTAGAAATCTGTTAAACCCTTTCGAATTTGAATGGAACCCTTGCTCGGCCCCAAAATGTCCATAACCCAAATTGATACTCCGAAGTCCAAACTTTGTTGAGGTCGTGGAACCTTTACCCGATCCGATATCAGTTCGGATCTGCTGACCACACTTATCCAGCCGCACACCGAGAATATCGGTGACCACAGTGTTCTATATGTACGGTTGAGTGAATGTGGCCAGTGATCTGCATATCCGGACTCATCAGATATTGATATTCATATGTGATAAGACCTCGTTTAATGATTTCAAGAAGGCAAAATGACAAACATTCGATCAACCCGAGATATTTATGGGCCCCACTGAAGTAAATGTAAATGCTTTTAATAGGCCCCGATCCAATACTTGTGTTACATGTGTGTGGTTCTGACATGATGCTGTCTTGTTGTCCCTCGAAAATCCCAACGCCAACACCATCGAGGCGAAGTCATATCTGCCCCCACAGCACATTTCAACCGTGTATTGAGAGCATTTTCCGATGACAAGTGAGAGATGTTCTTAATACACGATGAGATATACATGTGGGGCGTTTTTGGGGCGCGTTTAATAGGGGCAGATGTGAACTCCATCGAGGCATCGACTTCGAGACGCCAGGTCGCAAGTAGAATCAAGCGGAAGATCCAATTCAGTGGGCCCGCTCCGTAAATGGATTCACTATTCATCTCGGTGATCGAACGATTGGCAAATGATAATCGATGAGGGCGGATTTGCACGTGGGCATGACTCGACATAAAGTGACAACTCAACGTGGTCAGTTCATTATAAAACGACTTCGGGTACCCTGTTATCCCGAACTAAAGTTACTTCGAGCCAAGATCATCCCAAACTTAGATCACTTTGACACCAGATCGTGACTAGGATACCGGTGTCAGGTCCGCTACAGATCGAGCTCGGACAGCTGGGCCACCTCGAAAAGAGTTCACCTCGGGACAAGCCTACCTCGGTACTAAGGCACTTCGACATTCACAACAGGTCGGATCTGAAGAACACAAGCTCAGGTGATATCAACCACAACATGATAATTCCAAGGATTTCACCATCGTACCCCGCGTCTTACAGGATCGTGCCTTGTAACGGCTATATTAGCTCACCCACTCCCCGATTCAGGCAGAAATAGGCAACCTTACCGGTTGATGGCGTTATCCCCAACTAACATGGAAATAGGTCCCATCACAACAGGGATCCCAAAATTACTCCACCAAATCCACGACGACTTCGATATATAAAGACCTCACCCCCCAGGGGCGAAAGAAATGCGTAATCTCTGATCTCTAGCTCTCTCACAATTTAATATCATCTTCAAGCTCGCAACAAAGTGCTAACTTAAGCATCGGAATGACCATATCGGATAAACACCCTCGAGTTCTCTGGTTATCTCTTTTCATCGAATCCATCATTAGTGATAACCAGATCATTTCCTACTTGCGCTACATCAATAATCAAATTTGGCCATCTATTATTTATGACATCTTAACATTATCTAAAGAAGTAAGGGAAGATTACGGAACCTGAAAATGGAGACAGGCAGAATCTCACTTGTTTTATAGGCAGGCCCCCATGTCATAAATCTTGGCAGAATCTCACCTGTCATAAATAAATATTCCCAATATATTTATTCTTTTTTTATAGAACAAAAATATTTATTTAATACCTATCATCAATCAAGAATAGAATATTTATTTATTCTTTAATATGGATATAATAGAAATTCCGGAATATCCTGATCTTATCTCGGACCCACAAATATAGGAAGATTGCCACGTGTCAATAAATCCTTCATTGATGATAAGTAAAAACCTCACTGTATAAATGGAAACATCATTTTAGAGACGTAGCGAAGAGACAACCTGTAAGCTGTAACTCTACGACGTTTCTACCTCTGCTCTACTTTGGCCTCCGTCTTTCCCTCTCCCCTCTGTCGCATCTGCTGCTTTCTTTGTTTCTCTCCTCGTTGATCCTGTAACTACTTCGCTAGTTCGCTACAATGACTGATACAACAGATGATATTGCAGAAGAAATCTCGTTTCAGGGCTTTGAAGACGACTGCAGGTTACTTGGAAGCTTACTCAATGATGTCCTTCAGCGAGAAGTTGGGACTGAATTCATGGAGAAAGTAGAAAAGAATCGAGTCCTCGCTCAGGTATCCAATAGGACGCTCCTCTTCTTATCTACCACTGTTCACGCTGAAAATTATCTATAAACAGCTGCGAAGTTGTGAAGTGCGAACTTGAGCTTTAGCTCTTCCTGTGGTGGTCTTTTAGCACTTCATCTTCAACTCATCGAGACTGAAGTTATTTAGTGTTGCTTCTTTTGATCTTGGTTTATTTACTATTTTTGGTTCTAGGTTTTTCTTGTTTTCACTCTTTTCATCATCTTATTTGAGGATTCATTGCATTGAATGCGTGTTTAGAGCGCTTGTAATATGAGGATGGCGGGGATCGAGGACACGGCTGAGTTGATCGAGAAGCAGATGGCATCGCAGATATCAAATATGACTCTTGAAGAAGCATTTTCACTGGCTCGGGCTTTCAGCCACTTTCTCAACTTGATGGGTATTGCTGAGACCCATCATAGGTGATTTAGCGTTCCTGTTCCTCTCTTATCCATTAAAAGTCATTTTGATTAGTTCTTTACTCCAATGGTTCCTAATGTCTTTCACCTGACATCTTCCAATAGTCAGATTGTTTACTTTCATGAAACAATTTCTTCATGCAGTGTGCGTAAGGCTCGTAATATAGCCCATTTGTCAAAATCTTGTGATGACATTTTTAATCAGTTGATACAGGGAGGGGTTCCTCCCGACGAGCTCTATAATACAGTTTGCAAGCAGGTTTGATGTTGATTTTGAGGGTATTTAATTTGGTCCAGGAGTTAAACTCCTACTGAATGTGCTTTCTGTGTGATGTTCATTGGTTGCTACCACAGGAGGTTGAGATTGTTCTTACTGCACATCCCACCCAAATAAACCGACGTACCTTACAATACAAACACATTAGAATTGCTGTGAGTGGTTTATTTGTAACTCTCTTGAGGCAACTCCACAAACATAATTTTTTAAAGCATTGTTTAATAAGTTTTATTTTTCCTGAGCTTCTTGCAGCATCTTCTCGAGTATAATGATCGCCCAGATCTCAGCCATGAAGACAGGGAGATGTTGATTGAAGATCTGGTACGTATCTTTTCCTGGAAAGCTTGGAAACTATTTCCTTTATCTTGTGGCGCAAATGTCCCCACCTCATTTGGAATTTTTTTGCTAGGTGAGAGAGATAACTGCAATATGGCAGACAGATGAGCTAAGGCGCCACAAACCTACACCTGTAGATGAAGCTAGGGCTGGTTAACTACTTGACTCATTATTATTATTATTGTTGTTGTTGTTGTTGTCATTATTATTATTGTTGTTATTGACTCAAAAAATAACATAGCTATTATTTACTAAGATATCTCTTTCAGTGTTTTTCTGTAATGGCTGTGTTTCTTTGTTTTCAGGTTTGCACATAGTGGAGCAGTCTCTTTGGAAAGCTGTACCTCATTATTTACGCCGTGTCAGCAATGCCCTGAAGAAGGTTTGTCTCTTCAATCCATGGTTCCAGATTCTTGTTAATTTTCAATACTTATGCCTGGGTCCTGGGGTGGCTATCATTAGAGCTTTTCAAGTTGTTAATTCTTTCTCTCTCTCTCTCTCTCTCTATTGGTTGCTATCCAACTGTACACTTCTCCAATCTGGGGTTTCTGCTGGAATATTTGAAAGGATATAATCTATCTTATAAGTTCTCATTCTTATGAAGTTTTGTTGTGCTTTACTCTCACAGCATACAGGAAGACCACTGCCATTAACTTGCACACCCATAAAGTTTGGCTCTTGGATGGGAGGTGACAGAGATGGAAATCCAAATGTAACAGCAAAGGTAAGACTTGTACCATTGATTGCTTTGAAAACTTAAACTTCTTATTTCTACTGAAAAGTAGCTTCTTCCACATGGTTAGATAGAAGTATTTGTAGAAACAAAATGGCCATTCCCTAATGCTGGTCCATGCAAGCCAGGATCTTGAGAAGGGTTGATTGGGTGTGGACCTAAACTCTGGAATTTTAACACAAAGTGGCTACCCTGAGAAACCCACATTCTGATGCTTTTTCAACCTCAGATTTTTCTTTACCATTGCATCAAGCAATGGTGCCTAAGCTTTGGAGTTTATCACAAAGTGGCAACCCTGAGAAACCCACATTCTTATACTTTTCAGCGTGAGATTTTACCATTGCACCAAGCAATGGTCTCTTGTGTGCACATGGATACAATTAATCAAGATTTGATCCCTGCTTTCTCAAATGATTCTATTAGTTTTTATTGATAAGGAAGTAGAGAATAAAAAATCCATGTTACATATTTGTCTTCTCTGAAATTTTGCCATTAAATTTGGAATGCTTTGATATATTTCATAACAAATGTGTATTTTTTTTTTCTAGCATACTGTTTTCTCTAAGTGATATAGCGAGAAATAAAATGAACAGATGGTGGTCTCATCATAAATTTTGTATGAATATTAGATATCAAAATGGATTTTTATTTGAGTTTTCTTTGATAAGAGAAGAATAACACACTCACCTTCTAGTGATCATAACTTGATAGTCAAAAGTCCATTGATGGTTTCTCTTTGGATCAAAGGGGACATTCTCTATACCTCTTTTAAATTCCAAACTTGGAGTGGCTATAATTTTGGGAGTTTATAGTTTTTTCAGAATATAATTAAGTTACCTTGTATGATAAACTGAAATTAGTTAGAGGTTTGGCCTTTTTGTGCGACTGTTATTAAATATTCTATTTTTTCCGATCATTTGAACTTTCTGGATTTAGTTTCTATTGAAACATTTGGATTTCTTGGATTAGCATGTAGTTCTTCATTTTTTAGGTCCCCTTAAAAAAGCCTTGGGATCATCAGTGTAGTTTATAACTTTGCTACCTACCACTCTGGTAAGTTCCACAAATAAATTCATTTACCTCTTGTTCAGTCATTCCAAATACATTACCATGTTCTGAAACAATTAAATATTTTACCACCACAGGGTTTTCATGATCTTGACCTTGACCTTGACCTTGACCAAACTTGAATTAGCCATGTTTAGAACGTTCTGTGAGTTCAGTAATAACTAATTTACCACTAGAAGGCACTTGTCCGAAGATGTGAATGCATAACATATTTGGATTCAAATGGTACTTAATCACTGATTCATGAGTCTGCTATCACAGCCCAAACAAGTAGAGGAGGAAGTTATTCTTTTGGAGTAAGACACTTAATAGTTCACAATTAGTAGGTTGAACACTTTGGTATGCTCATAGAAATCAAACTTTTATCCATGCAACTTTCATAATCGTCCTTGAAACTAGTTTGAGGGTAGGCACTTTTCATCTGTTTTTGTGTTGATATTTAGCCTTACATTTTCTTTCTAATCATTCCCACCAAGCTAAAGTGATGCTGTCTTGTAAGCAAGGAAGAATCCATAGAAAAAGAATTCAGTTTTCAACCAATTCATTTCATAATTTTTGGGTGTTTTGGATTTTAGTACTTTTTCGAGTCTATAAAATTTATTTTTCTGGTTTTTTGGCATCTTAGGAACAGGGATTTTAAGTCTTCTAAAAATTTAATATTCTTGGTCAAAATTGAAATTACTATTTATGGCAACTTTCTGACTTTATTCCTGCAATACTATTTATAATGAAATCTTTATTTCCTATTTTTGATAACTTTTGGTTTTTTTATAATAAGTTAGTTTTTATTAGGATTAGAAAGTATTAAAGTTATTTCAGGAGTTAGAATCCTTATTTGAAGTCCATATGGGTTACCTATTAGTTGCCTTAGTTTTGAAGTAGTTGGAATTTGTTTTGGGTTAGCTTCCTAGTTGAAGTTGGAGCGTGTAAGGGATATCCGAGCACTCATGATTATTCTATAAATATAACTGTTCAGTTGAAATGTTTGGGTTGATTTTTTTTTTTTTAATTTAAAGTTAATTGAAATGTTAGAGTTGATTTATTGGAACAAAAGGTTTATTTTTGAAGTTACTGCAGGTAATAGTGTGGTCTTCTTTCACTCCTTTTCCACAATGTTCATCCCATTGGACTTTCTCCTTCCCATCCTACTTAATCTTAATAGCAGTGACCTTTATTTTATGATGATCTGAATTCTGAAACATGCTTGTACTAAAAACCTGTTCTGCCTATTTATTCAATTAATGCATGAAGTTGAATGATACTTATTTTTTGATTGTAAAAGGAAATAGTTCATTAAATAAAATAGAAAAAAGATTACAAATTTACAACCTAATAAGGTGTTAAGGCAACACCTTCAGGAAAAGAAACAAGACTACTGAAAGATACAATCGGAAACATAATTTTGCAATTCCATCACTTCCCAAAACCTATCCCCCAAATCTGATTTATTAACTTGTGCAGAGTCTGGATGGACCAACATCCACTCTAAAACAAATTTTCCTATGTCCGCCTGGTCACCAGTCTTTCTATGCCCCTGATCTTGTTTTCAAGCAATCTTTTGTTCCTCTCCTTTCAAATGCCCCGGCAGACTGCAAAAGGGATGCGGCTCCAAATCGATCTAGCACTTATACTACCTCTAATCATTGGCTAAGAAGAGAAGATTTCTGCATGAGTCCTTGGCTGAAAACCTCTAACTCTGAACAGGGAAGAGAAGAAACGCCAAGTGAAATTGGCAACCTTACAGGAGATAAAGAAATGGCACACTGTCTCTTGCTCACGGCATATGTAGCAAATACTGCCCACGCCAGAACCTTATTCTTAAAATTTAGTTTTGGAGAGAGAATAGGTTTCATCTCTCACTGACTGTTCACTGTAATTATACTCCTTGTACTTTTACCACTTTTTCATTTTATAAATGAGATTTGCAGCTATCAATCAAAAAAGAAAAGAAAAAGATCCACTTTAGAATGATGCCCATTGCAACGAGGCACACAAATGCTTCTATTCTCAGTGGAACAGGATTACCCCATACACCACCAACCTGTGATGGGTCCAAGTGGCTTCGATCAAGATTGCATAGAAGGGTTTCACAGAGAACCTCCCATTATTTGCACTCTTTCCACCATAATTCATCCCTTAAAGAGCTTGAGATCTTCAAATTTTCAAGTTTATCTTCCAGCAGCATAACACACTCTTCTGCCTCCCAATCCAAAAGCAGCATAATACACTCTTGTTAAGTTTTTGAATTCTTGGTTAAAAGACATCATTCCTTTCCAAACACTCACCCCATATGAAGTGGAGACCTCCCTCAGTTCCCACACAAACCTCACAACCCCATATTTCCCCACCACCACTCTCCTACAAAGTGACTCCTTTTCCTTATTGAACCTGAATCTCCAAAGTCATTTCTCAAGCAATGTCTTATTAAAGATTCTTACCTTCTTATCCCCAACCCATCTCCACTCTTTGGACTACAAACCTTGTCCCACTTAACAAGATGGCATTTCTTAACTCCCCTGAAACCTTTCTGTAAGAAATCTCTTTGAATCTTCTCCACCCTCTTTGCCACCTTTGCTGGTACTTCTAATAAATACAGGTAAGTTGGTAAGCTTGAAAGAGTGCTTCTGATGGGTGTAATCCTTTCCCCCAAAGATAGATATTTGGCCTTCCAACTATCTGGCCTCCTCTCCACTATTCCAGTAATAGTTGGCCACCACAAAGATGCTGAATATGACTTAGAACTAACCGGAAAGCCGAAATAGGTAAATGGGAGTTCCCCAATTTTACAATCAAACAGTGCAGAACGTTTAGATAGCACTTAATTTCTAATACATCCAGTTCCTATCACAACACTCCTGGACAAATTCACTCCCAAACCTGTCAACATTTCAAAGCTCGCCAAAATAGCCCTCAAATTTAGAACCTACTCCATTGATGCTTCCAAGAAGATTAATGTGTCATCACTCATCAGCATATTGCAAGTGAGATATACATGAGCCATTTGGCCCTATTTTAAAGCCACCAACCAAACCTAGGCACACACACCTTTACTCATTAAAAAATTTAAAACATCCATAACTAGCACAAAGAGTAAAGGGGAGATGGGGTCCCCTTGATGAATGCCCCTTAGATGCTTGGAAAAATTCTGGCAGGACACCATTAATAAGGATTGAGATGGATGCCAAAGATACACATGTCAACATCCAGCTTCTCCACCTTTCTCCAAAACCCATCAATCTTTGTACCTCCTCCAAGAAACTTTGCTCCACATGATCATATGCTTTTTCAACATCAATCTTACACACCAATCCCATTTTCCCACTTCATGTCCTTGAATCTGTACATTCACTTGTCACCAACACCCCATCCAAAATATGCCTCCCTTGCACAAACGCCATCTGGGTTTCACCCACTACCTCATGAATCACTTGTCTTAATCTCTTTGGCAACACCTTTGCTAGCAGCTTGTAGGGACTACAGATCAGGTTCGTTGGTCTGAAATATTTTGTCTACCACCCGCTTCTTTTTCGGAACTAGAGAGACAAAAGCAGCATTACCCATTTTTCCAACAAAATTTCATCATAAAACTCCTTGAATATCAGCAAGAAATATTCCTCCAAAACAGTCAAGTTTGCTTTGATGAAAGTAAAATTAAAAGCATCCTGTTCCATTACTTTATCACTGATTATTTCCTTTAAAGCTTCCTTGATTTCTGCCACCTCAAACTCTCTTTCAATCCAATTTACCAAAAGCTCACTAACTTTTTTAGGTGCAGTCTCTCCAAAGAAAACCAGTGCCAAGGTCTTGTGGTATAAGGCTTCTTATAGAAATTCACACCTTCTCCTGTATCCCCAAGTACCCACCACTTCATCTCCTACTTGAATCCTTGAAATTAAGTTTCTCCTGCTAGCATTAGCATAAGCATGGAAAGTAGCCATGTTTTTTATCTCCAGCTTTAAGCCAAATTGCCCTTGATTTCTGCCCCCAACTAACCTCTTCTCTATAAACTATTCTCTCCAATTCACTTTCTAACCCTTCCCTTTCTTTCTTAGCTGTCCTAGACAGATTCCCTCCTCTTCCAATCTGTATGGATTGTGTTCATGCATCCGGTTAATTGGGGTTTTGTGTTTGCACTGGTACATATGTCTAAGTGGTGTAGCTATAGTTGTATTGAGGTCCTTAGGCTGGATTCTTTTATTATTATCCTTGGCCTAGTTTTGTAGGACTGAAATCTAGATATCCTACAATTTATGTCATAAAGTCATAATTTGGTTATGCTTTTAGATTCCTTTACTTTTTCTTGGAGTTTGAAGTTTGGATGCAAGAAAACTATAAGACTAAGAAAAGAAACAAATGAAATCAGTTCTACTACACTCACCTCTACCTTTCTTGGAAGCGAGTGTCAAAATGTAAAATTGGTTGTTTTGGTTTACTTTTCCTATATGATTCCTCAGTCATTAACTGTCATGTCATAAACTTATTTTGCTGCTTTTATTGTTGTTACAGGTAACAAGAGATGTCTCTTTGTTATCTCAGTGGATGGCAATTGATCTCTACATTCGGGAGGTTGACAGCCTTAGGTTTGAGCTTTCCATGAAGGGATGTAGTGAGAGATTGTCAAGACTTGCTCATGAGATCCTACATAAAGGTTTGGCACATCCTTAATATGATTGAATGGAATTAGAACTATTTTTATTATATCCTAATTTTATGGTTTATTTGTTGAAACCTACCAAGCAAGTTAATGAAACAAAAGTAGGTGAGAAGTTGGTGGTTTAACAGCCTAGTAAGTGAGTGAGCCTTTTTTCTGATAAAGGTTACAAATCCATGGCATTAGGTGCCATAAATCATGAATTTTGTAATATGGAATATTTAAATACTAATACCCCATAAGCATAATTAATATAGGCCCATGTGACATGACAAACGAACATGGGCATATATAATATCCTTTATAAATTTTGAATCCATGATTTGATGACAAGAATATACAGATCATAAACCATACTAAAATATTAAGAATCATTGACTAGTAATCGTAGTACATACGTTGCATGAACAATTTATGGTTTTGAACAAGTATATGAGAACAATAAATACTCAAGCTAACATCTGGAGAAGGCTAAATACATGAGACGTTTCAATGCAGTAATTAACTATGCATCACATATGAAATGCCTATAAAAAATCATTGCATATGAATCTCCTTGGTGACTTGGGTTTGCTTAGTTGTCTAAGTGGTAAGTGCTTACATGGTTATGCCAAAGTTTAGTACCCAAAAACCTAGCTTTTTACTTTGCCTGATTTTCTAGGGACTGTCATCTAGGATCATCAGGTAAGAAGGTGCAGAAGCAATAATATGGTGCTTTTACATTTTGTAAATGCTTTCTTGGTAAACCCATGTGAGAATTCAAAACAGTGAGGGAAGGGAAGGGAGAAGAGAGAATGGAGAAGAGAGAAAAGGAGAAAAGAGGTTTGGAGTAAAAAACATAAGCTGGCGGCGCCAACCTTTTTGTTATTTATATTAGGGCGACCCACTCTAATAATAAAAAGATAAAATTACATATGTGCCCCTGTGACACTAAACTCAAGAAAAGACTAACATATTCAACACTCCCCCTCAAGTTGGGACATAGATATCAATCATGCCCAACTTGTCACATAAATCATTGTGACGTGAGTGATGTAAGCCTTTTGTAAATATGTCTGCAAGTTGCTCCTTAGAACTAACATATATGTGCACACTTCCCCATTAACAATCTTCTCTCTTTGTCAACCTCAATATGTTTAGTTCTATCATGAAGAACTGAATTGGCTGCAATGTTGATGGTAGCCTTGTTATCACAATACAAGGACATGGGGCTATCAATTTGAAAACCTAGTTCGCTCAACAAATTCTTTGTCCGCATAGCTTCATCCACCCCATGGGACATTGCCCTATACTCAGCTTCAGCAGTAGACCTAGCCACCACACTTTGTTTATTTCTTCTCCATGTGACTAGGTTTCCTCCCACAAAAGAACAATACCACTAGTGGATTTTCTGCCAACAATTGATCCAGACCAATCAGCATCTGTATATACTTTAACCTTCAAATGCCCATTCTTTTGGAATAGCAAACCAGCTCCTAGAAATTTCTTTAGATATCTGAGGATCCTCTCGGCTGCCTCTAAGTGTGTGGTCTTAGGAGCATGCATGAACTGACTAAGAATACCTACGGCATAAGCAATGTCTGGCCGGGTCATGGACAAATACAGGAGCCTTCCCACAAGTCTCTGGAATTGCTTTACATCCTTGATAATCTCACCGCAACAGTCACTCGGTCTATGATTTGGATCAATGGGAGAGTTAGCTGGCTTAACCCCTAGTTTTCCTGAATCCTGTAATAGATCTAGGATGTATTTCCTTTGAGAAATGAAGATCCCCTTTTGTGAGTGGGCCACTTCAATTCCAAGGAAATACCGTAGGGACCTAGATCCTTCACCTCAAATTGAGTGGCTAAGAGGTTCTTTAGCCTCTGAATTTCAACTTTCCAATCACTTGTGATCACTATGTCATCAACATACACAATCAATAATGTATTGGTTAGTCTGACATTGTTTGTAGCCAATTTGCTGCATAGTCAAATGGAACTTGCTGAACCAAGCCCTAGGTGATTGTTTTAGACCATACAAGGACTTCTTTAACTTGCACACTCTTTGCTCCTTGCCTTGGAAACTAAAGCCAGGGGGTTGTACCATGTATACCTCTTCCTCAAGGTCTCCATTTAGGAAGGCATTTTTGATGTCTAGTTGATGAATATCCCAATCAAGATTTGTAGCAAGAGAGAAAATAACTCTGATGAAGTTCATCTTAGCTATTGGAGCAAAAGTCTCTGCATAATCTACCCCATATTACCTGGGTAAACCCTTTTGCCATTATCCTGGCCTTGTACCTTTCTATAGTGCCATCAACCTTGTGCTTCACTGTGAACACCCACTTACATCCTACCGGTTCCTTACCCTCAAGAAGATCCACCAACTCCCACGTACCATTTTTATGTAAGGCATTTATCTCTTCTTTCATTGCATTTGTCCATTCAGGTACTAAGAGAGCTTCTACAACATTTTTAGGGATAGGGACACTATCAATGGAAGAAAGGAAAGCACAAAAAAGAGGGTGAGATTTCTCATTGGAAACAAAATGGGAAATATGATGCTTGGTGGTATAAGACCTAACTCTCTTCCTTTTTGCAATAGGAATGTCTAGGTCATTAGTAGATGGAGTATCAATAGCAAGAGGATCAAAAACATCAATAGGAATAAGAGTACCTGGTTGGGTAGGATTTGTCCTCGATGAATCTGATGGTGTTGGTGGTACAACTTCAAGTTGCTCCACAACTCTTGAACTCGGCTGGCCCTTGTGACGAAGAACCTGAACTCATTTCTCCTCCACCTTACTCTCCCCCTGAGGAGAAGCAGGGAAAAAAGGGTCACTCTCAAAGAAGGACACATCCATAGACACAAAATATTTTCTGGAAACGGGGTCAAAACACCGATAGCCTTTTTGAGAAGAAGGATAACCTAAGAATACACAGGGAATGGTACGGGGATCAAGTTTACTATGAGTAGGAGACAGGTTTTGAACAAAATAACGACAACCAAAGACACATATAGGAATGGAGAAGAGTGGAGCCTTGGGAAATAGGAGCTAATGAGGGGCCTTGTACCCTAGCAAGCGAGATGGTATACGCCATATGGTTGATAAGATAGGCAGCACATAACACAACATCCAACCAAAAACGTTTAGGAACATTCATGTGTATGAGTAATCCACAAGCAACTTCAAGGAGATGGTGGTTTTTTTTCTTTCGGCAACACCATTCTGTTGGGAGGTTCTAGCACAAGAGCTACGATGGATGGATCCACGCGAAGCAAAAAACTCCATGAGATCACTATGAAAGTACTCTTTGGCATTATCTGATTGGAAAATTTGGATCTCCGTTTGAAATTGAGTGAATATAAGGCGTTGGAAATCTTTGATAATTTTGGGTACTTCATCTCTGGACCTCATAGGATACACCCATGTATATCAGGAGTAGTCAACAATAAGTGCAGTGAAATACTTATAGCCAGTACCGGGTGTTAAAGTAACAAGGCTCCAAACATCAGAATAAACAATATGGAAAGGAAAATTAGATTTATTATTCCTTGAAGTAAAATGATTTCTACAATGTTTATTCAACTGACAAGTTTGACATGTGAGTTCAAGCACTGACACTGACTTGAACAAATCTGGAAACAAAACTTTCAACGATTCAAAAGATAAATGACCCAAACGACTATTCCATAAATAGACTTGACTCTTACTAAACAAACTCTTGGACTCAATAGCCGCAAGACTAGCTTTATTCTCTAGCATGTAAAGACCATCCACCATACGACCTCTACCAATCATCTTCCCCGAGGCCAAATCCTGTATCACACAAGAAGGGAAAAAGGTTACTGAGCAGTTTAACGAATTTGCTATACTACTAACAGAGAACAAATTTATAGGTAGTTTTGGAACATGTAGAACACCATAAAGGGTGAGTCTAAGAGGAAGGGAGATGGTTCCTTGACCAGTTATTGTGGAGAAAGAACCATCAACAAGTCTCACCTTGTCCCGACCAAATAACAAATGATAAGATTGAAAACCATTGAACTTACTTGTCATATGGTTCGAGTCTCCAAAATCTATTATCCAAGGAGAGTTTGAGGGATGAGAGGACACATGGAAAGCTGTGGAAGAATTACCATTACTTGATGTAGACGCAAAGGAAGTCGAGGGGGGAGAAGTAGAATCCATCTGGCGGATTGCCCTCTTATATAGTTCCAAATGGTCACGGAAAGAATTAAGGATATCTTCCCTAGGATCAGTCACGGAAGGGCTCATGGAAGTGGTAGATGATTGAGGCTCCTGAGAGGCCAAGTTTGCTGTATTAAAATTCTTTTGACCTTGCTGTCCCAACTTATTATTCTGGTCTGGTTTTTTACTCACCTCCTGGGCCCACTTTGGCTTCCCATGAAGTTCCCAACATGTATCCCGAATGTGTCTAGACTTCTGACAACGAGTGCACCGTAGTTTATCCTTGTCATCACCTTTCTTTTGTGTAGAGAACACTGATGTGGGCCCCATAGCAGTGGTCCCCACTGTGTTCGTAGGACAGCATGTGTAGTTATTTGTTTCAGTTATAATAGTGTCAGTTTGTTAATTCAATTGTTATTTATTTCAGTTTTTATTTACTTTATTTATCATGTAAGTACTAAGGGCAGATCTGTCCTTTCCATTATGTACTGAGCATAACCTATAAATAATAAGAGAGTGGCGGCGGCAGATCT